GGGTCTTCATCCCAGCGGGTGTCCGGGCTCAGATCATCAAGAAGGATCCGAAGACCGGCAAGGGCATGCTGCAGTTTGGCACAGAGGCAAGACTTCTCCCAGCGCACTTGTGTTATCGCACAGGTGCGTTTGGCATGCGTGTAACAATGCGTAATTCTGTTCCTTGTTTTAGTTCAGTTGAGCCATGCCACAGACAAACTCGCTGCTGCTATATGGTGTTTTGGATTTGGTTAGTGATGCGTCGCCGGAGTCATAAAGCGTTTCCGGTATCCGGCCTCGTCGCGACCATCACGGCAAGGATTCTTGCGTATGTCTTTGGTCTGTGTTAGGTCATGCAGAAGACATGATCAGTAGAACTGCTTTGATGCTGAGTCTGGCATCGCAGGTCGTGTCCAACAAGGAGGGCACCATTGTTGGTCTGCTTGGTGCATCTCCAGGCAGGCTATGTCTTCAATGATACAAGCGAGGGACGGACGGCCGGAATCGCAGGGGGCATCATCCGCGCAGCACCGGCCATTTCCATAACACGATCTGATAGCATGCTCTGGACAGGACGAGCCAAGGAAAGGACAAAGCTCATTAAAGTGCATGGCAGCCCAACATCGCGCTTTTGCAGCACAGCAAACTTAACCCAGAAGTTTTGAGAGTGGTCTTTAACCTCTTTTGCATCGAGTTTCAGCGGTTTGCACTTCGAGCGGCACAGCATCGAGTAACTCCTGGGTGTGCTACAGGTTTCTGGTGTGTTTGCTTGTTGTTGACAGTGAGGGGTCCAGTGCAGTTCCATACAAGCTCACCTCGTGGATCTAGCGCGAGTCTTGAGACTTCTGCTATGGCCCATGCCCTATGGCGCCACTTCGAAATGGAAACTTTCCGGTGGGGTAGACAGTGAGTGACCAAAAAAGGTTCTCGATGCTCGACAGACCGTCGAACCGTCGAACACTTGATCCTAGCACCCGGTCCCGCCTGTATCACGCTGACTCAAACCTAGGGAACCTCGCCTGGCTTGTCGGAGTTGTGAGAGCGGAACACCCGGCCCTCCCTCGAAACCCAGACCTAACATGGTTTTCAACTGTTTTGTTCGTACGTGTCGGAGGTGCTTCGACTTGCGTCTCGATCGCTTTGGATGTGATCCAGAAATGCTTCGGCCAGAGGCTAGGAGGCAAGAAGATGTCAGCTTTATCAGGCTTTTTCTACGACTGGCAAGCTCTAAGCTTACGAATGAGCCATGCTTTTATCACTGTGTCGGTTTATGCTTCTATACGAGGTTCAGAGGCCTCATGCGTTAGTCAGTAGGGTCTACGATGGTCTTTGCCAGTGGAGGACCCGGGTCCCTGTAACCGGGGTTACCAGTCTGGCTCTGCAATTGGCTGTGGCAGAAAGAGACACAGAGGGTGTGTCGTGACAAGGGGGGAGGGGTTAAGGAAGGAAGGGGGGTCAGGTCTCAGCCAGAAGCCCCTAACACGGCTCCGTTTTTTCCCGGTGCCTGAGGAAGCCCGAGTTCAAGAAGTGGGTGCCGAAGCTGAAGGCCACTTTATGCCATGCGCGCCGCTCGCGAATCAGTCGATCGTGCGGCTGCACTGCAGCAATGGCAGCAGCGAAGATATAGGGACACAGCGACAATAACCTTTCTGGCCTCAGGGACTTCTGCAAGATCTCAGCTTGTTATGGAAGATGGGGCAAATCTTGATTGAGACTGTGTGGCTTCGCAGCTAGTCATTCCACACCCGACCCGAGCATCAACGACCAACGCAGGCCATGATTCCCAGCTTCTCTGCCGATGTGGCAGCTGGGGACATGAAGAAGGTCACACTGGATGCATCTTGCCTGAGACATGACAAAGGACCTGAGGCATCCAGCTTGGTCTAAGCAACCCACCTGTCCAACCCACAAGAACAGCTAAGTTCAAACCGTTCGGGCAGTAATTGAGAGTATGTCTGGATGAGCACTGACGATTGACAAAAGTACAGTCCTGATGTGCCAGGTTGTTAACAAGATCTACACCGAGACGGGTGCCACGCTGAAGGTTTTGCCGAAGCACGCGTGAGATCAAATTCCATCATTTTCCGAGGCAGCAGAGCAGCGACAATCCAGATCAAGCCCCTATCCATGACACATCGCATCTGCATCCGTGTCCATCTTCGTCTTCCTCCCCCTCTCCCCCTCTCTCCCTCTCTCCCTCTTCCCCTCTCTTCCTCTCTCTCCGTTTCCCGCTCTCCCTCGCTCTCCTTCTGTCTCTCTCTCTCTCTCTCTGTCTAGATGTGCTTCTCTAGAGACTCTAGAGATGTGTACATACATGTATACATGTATGTGTATGTATATATATATATATAGATTTACAGGTATATGCAAAGGCATGCATACATAGGTTATATGTATATGTCTATATCGCGTTTACGTATTTTTGTGTGTATGCATGTATGTCTGTAATGTCTGTATGTATGTATATATGTATGTATGTAGGGAGGTATGCAAGACAGGTACTAATATATGGATGTATGAGTATGTATGTATGTCCCTATCTACCTACCTACCTATCTATCTATCTATCTATCTGTCTATCTGTCTATCTGTCTATCTGTCTATCTATCTATCTATCTATCTATCGATCTATCTATACACACCTATGCGCGCATAAAGACATGCACGCGTATGTAGGTACCATACAGTAGTCTGTAGGTATGTGGCTGCATGCGTATGTATGTATGCATGGGTGTACAAATCTAATACGCATCCAACCGTACGTAGACATGTTCGTATGTATGCATGCATGCATGCATGCATGCATGTATGTATGTATGTATGTATGTATGTATGTATGTATGTCATTATGTATGTATGTATGTATGTATGTATGTATGTATGTATGTATGTATTAATGCATGTAATGTATTAGTGTATAATCAAGAAAGTGTATTGATGCATTAATGTATTATGTAATGTATGAATGTATGAATGTATGTATGCATGCATGTATGTATGTAGTAGACGGAGACATGTCTGTGCAGCATGCCAGCACCTTACCCTGAGATTGTCCTCTTTGCTGCCTGGCACGCCGTCGGGGCAGAAGTCTGCACCGGCCAAGCATTTTGCTGTGTGAGGAAGCCTCTCCGTAACCGGAGAGTAGCGGAACAAAGTCCGGCATGAATCCCAGGGAAGGGAATGATGAAGGGCGTTGTTTTCTGATGTACCAACAGTACGAGGTTTTGGGCGTGTCAGCTTGGCTTTACTGTCAAGGCCTACAGTCTGCACAGCCTGCAACGTCAGAACCTGGGCATGGTCGCATACTTATCCAAGAGCTTTTCCGATCAAAACTAAATTAAATTCAAGTCGTTGCTTCTTTGTCGTGTTGCCCAGTGGAGGTAATTCGTGTTCACAGCTGTGCTCAGCGCAGAGCTCATCGATTCCACATTGCCTTCAGTGGGGCCGTTTGACTGTTCAGTCCGTGTTAACCACTGATTCAGCAGCCGCGAAGCGGAGAGATGCCAAATGCCAAGATGGGAAAAGCCGATCCTGAACGTCTGACACCTCCTTTGTTCCCGCCCTGTAGAATCTGACGGCGATAGAGGTTTTGGACCCATGAGGTGTAGATCTTGATCGATGAATATGTTATCAAAACATACGCACTCATAGTCATAGAGAAAAGCTGAGAAGTTCTGGGCTGGGACAGCCGCGTCGCAGGCCTGGCCCACGAAAGCCCTGGGATGAGGTCGGCGAGGCGAGTGGTGGCGCAGAGCTTTCTTTGTAGTCGCTGGTTTCCGGAGTGTGCAGTTTTGGGCAGGGAGGGTTCCTGGCGCCTGGAGTAATACATGAAGGCACAAGCTTCCAGTTTCAACGCTCCGAAGACGCTGGAAAGCCCGGATTTGTCAATAAACCGCGCTGAATGCCTTTGGCAACAATCACACCGTCAACAAGCGGCAGTTGTTCCATGAGGTCCAAGGTCTGAGAGTCACGAAGACCTGCATTTGGTGAAGCGCTGTCCCTTGCCCGTGCAGTGATATCAGTGATATCCAAAATCTCCCTGTCCTGGCAGGCCGTATACCCCCGCGCAGCTGAGCCTGACCGGCAAAGCGCGCTTCCTGGTAGACAAAAAAACTGTGCCAGAGATGCCTTTGGGGGCAGTCAGTGCGACGTTTTCTGGTTCTTTCAGTGGCACTTGTCGCTTGGAACAGTGCGGGCATTGGGACGGCATTCTCGTGTTGTTTGCATGGTTGCACCAGAGGTCATGAGATCTCCGGCAATGGCTACGGCTCGAGTTTGCCGGGCAGTGACGGGTAGTGCCGGTGTCCAGGATGACAGGAGAGTACGCAAGAGTGGTTCCAGCCCCTGAGCCAGAGCGGCGGCCAGTTGACCCTCCCAAGGAGTCCGGGGTTCAAGAAGTCCCGGTTCCTATCGACGATGAGGACGAGGACGACGATGATTGTAGTTCCAAAGACATCCTCCAGTTCACCACGGCCATCTATTTCGTCGAGGAGAGCGAACCGCACCTCACCATTGACGTCATGCGTCTCGGGGCCATGACGGACACCGTTAAGGTGAGGTATAGGACGGAAGATGGGTCGGCGAAGGCTGGGAGGAGCTACAAGCACACGGAAGGAGAGTTGGTCTTCGAGCCGGGTATGTTTCGACAGTCCATTGAGATTGAAACAGTTGGCAACCCGCTGTGGTCACCGACCTTGGAGTACAAGGTCCAGCTTTACGATCCAGAGGGCTGCACACTTGGCCTGTACTTGCAGACAGCAAGGGTGAAGGTGATCGATCGAAATCCTTTTCCGACTTCGAAATATGCTGAGCAGCTGAAGAAGGGTAAGGAGGGGGTGATGAGTATTCGTGGCATCGGACTTCTGTGGGAATACTGGAAGCTCTGCTATGGAGTCACCGGGGTGAGGTGGCGCACCTTTCTGATATTGCTCTTGGATCAGTTCCGGAATGGATATGCCGTCGTCAAGCTGGTGCTTAATATGTACATCGTTGATGTGCTGTTCAACACGGCCGACCCTTCCACTGAGGCCAAGCTTTGGCTGCCGGATCGATTGAGCACGGCCGTGCTTTTAGGTGGATTCTATGTGTTGCCGATGATTGCCATTCATATCGGTTCCGTGATCAAGAACCAGATCGACTTGCCTGGGCAGCTTCGCCTGTTTTTGCAAAGCTGCTTGTTCCGGAAGTACTTGAACTACAGCGAGGAAGCACGTGCTACTGTAGCACCTTCCGACATGCAGACGGCTATCACCCGAGATTCAGGAAATGCCGCGAATGCCTATGTTAAGGTGCTGGATCTCATCGCAATATTTTTCGAGCTCATTGTCTTCTCGTATTTCACTCTCGACCGGAACCCCACTGCCATCATTTTCATCCTGGCCATGCCAGCATGCATGGCACTGTATTTCGCAGTGGTCAGCAGCCTGTGCCGTGCTGGTGTTAACGACTGGAAAGCCAAGGAGGTTCTGGTCCTGCGTATCGTTGCAGAAGTCTGCGAACGTTACCGGCTCATAGCAGACTATTTTCAGCGACCGCAGATGAATGAGGCTTTTGCAGCGACTGCTGGAGCGCTGCGTAAGGCTCAGAGCCGAAAGGCTCTCGCCAATCTGAATGATGACATGTTTCCGCAATGGTTGGGCCCTGGCTTTACCGGCCTCTACATTGCCATGGATGCCAACAACGTCTTGACCGGCCAGGTGACGCTTGGCACCTTCCTGGCCACCATCAGCATTCTCGGGAGCATCAGCGGCCAATTTGCAAGAGCATATAATGTGGTCCTGGATATCTATGAGCTGACGGCCCCAGTGAAGAAGCTGACCGTCTTCTTCAACAAGTCTACGGATCTGCTAACTTGGAAGGAAGTGAACCGGCAGCGACGGGACAACACGAGAAAAGCCCGTGATGCCCTCTTCAAGAAAGAGGAGGAGGAGGGCGGGGAGCCAGCACTCTACAAAACTGACCTTATTGAGCTAAGGCTTGAGAACATGGCCTATTCAAACGTGGCGAAGACGCTCCTAGGTTCTTATTATTTACTATAGATCTCTCTATTCTGCTAACTTAAGTTAGGTTCCTGAACAAGAACCCAGGCTCTTCCACGACGTGAACTTGACCATCCCGCAAGGAAAGCTGGTGGCCGTGACCGGACCACATGGCTCCGGGAAGTCGACCTTGATGAGGCTTTTGAGCCATATCATCTTCCCGAAACTTTACTGCTCTCGGGACTTATGTTTTTTTTTTCTTATGTTTGTTTTATTTATCTCATCATATAACTCCAGGGTGAAACGATAATACATTTTTTTCTTCTGGTTCTAAGGGCGGCTAAGGAAAAGTGGCTGCATTTTCTTTCCTTCGCACCTTCGCATCCTGCACTTAGCGCAGGAGCCACTGCTCTTGAACGCTTCTGCATGGGTCAACCTGGTCTTCGGGGTCGGAGATCGCAAGGTCGTTCCAAGGCGCATCCGGACAATCCTCGAGATGATGGGAATGACTGCGACGCTCCGTCTCATCAAGGATGACTTGGAGCGTGTTGAGCGAGAGGGACGCCGGAAGGCGGGCGACACCTGGAGCCAGCCGGCCAACAGCGGATGGATGGAAGGGTTGACCTATACAGAAAAAGTGAAGATGTGTTTGGCTCGTGCTCTGATCATGAACCCGGAAGTCATGGTCCTCCAGCGGCCGCTCCACCACTATGATGCTGACACTGCCATCACAATGGAGAAGCTGCTGAGGAAGCATGTCGAAGAGAGGGGCTTGATGTTGCCGGAGGAGCAGCGCATACACCGCCGACCGCGAACGGCCTTCTTCACCCTAGAGAGCGCTGAACAGGCCAAAGGCGCCGACATCATTCTGTATATCCAGGAGGATGGCACCATATTGGCAGAGAACTCCCCTTCAACGGACGAGCCCGTCACCGAGAGCACGCCGCAGGACAAGCCAGAGGACCAGCCGGTAGTAGAATGACAAGCCCCGAGCCCCGAGAGACCTGGAGCTGGAGCTCTGGTCAGACACTGCGTGAACCAATCAGCGACGGAGAAATATGCCCAGAATAGGCCTCAAGCTTTTTCAGTCCGTCCCTTACGGCCCCTCAAACTGTGTCAGAATCGTTGCAAAGTTAGTGTTGCACCGCCGATGGCCTGCATCCGCGCAGAGGGGCTTTGCACGAGGCAGGACCGAAGCAGAATAACTGCCGAGGCGATGCCTGCGTGGCTGCAACTCCAAAGGAGGGGCAGAGGAGAGGGATATCTCTAGTTTGCAGCTGTTCCTGTTTCGCGAACCTATCTATGTGTATTCTAAAAATACGCATATGCAGTATTATGTGTAGATACATATACATGTGAATACTGAGCGCGAGTGCTGAAAAGAAGGTAAGTGTGCAGGCATATCTGATTAGACAAGTAAGTTAAGTAATTATGTATGCAGGAACGTGCGTGCGCACATGTGTAAGCATGTAAGTATATATATATATACATATGTAGAATACGAGTGATGGTCCCATTTAGTGGGTCCAGCACCGGAATCGAGTGGCGAAGTCACTCACCGGCCTTCTCGATCTTGAGAGTCAGCGCCGTTTTTTGCACCCCGCAGAGGCGACTGCAAAAGCCACGAGCAGCAAGCGAGCAATAAGCGAAAAAGTGACTCGCATGGTGTCCATCCAGAGCGTGATGTTGGGTTTTCTCTCTAAACAAGCACGTTTCAAGTTGAAACTCTCATGATCAACGGGCAGGTCTCGGAAAGGCCGAACCGATGCAACGAGCTTGCTATTCTCAAACTATCGGGGCCGTTTGGTCTTGGGCTCAAGTCTGCAGCACCTTTGACATTCGTTAGTTTCTGGGATGGCTGCGGCTGTGCTTCGAAGCCCCTAGGGTGCAAGATGAGACGCAGCGCTTCCTGCATGCCGTGGTTTGCCAGTTTGCTAGAGCAGCTGTGTGCGCGGATGTCGAAGCATCGTCTTGGTACAGTTCATTGTGTCTTGATGCTTTTCTTGTAGCCTGTGTAAACCAAACCAATTCCCGGTGGGTGTGGAGGCAGCTCTGCAAAACCCAACACCCCTTGCCCCCTCCAGGAAGACAAGGTCAGGGAAGACAAGAGGAACAGCGGAAAGCCTTGTCCCGTTTGACCAGGCGATGAGCCGTGGCGAAGAGGCAAAGCGAGCATTGACGGGATTCGTCGGTGTACCTTGGCCTTTTGTGAGCCCACGCAGGAATATGAGGACGGCGCAGGATGATCCGACGGAGGCCGAGCGATTGTTTTTTGCACCCAGGAAAGAGCTTTTGCATGACAGGAGGGTCGTACTAGCTCAACCAGAACGAAGTCCGAGGAAGCTGCAGCTGAGGTGGGCACATTCCTTGTGAGAGCACAGCATGCTTTCCCGGCCGTCGTCGCCCGCGACATGGGAATCTCAATCAGTAGCCCAGCATTCGAGGCAAATCGAGGCAAGTTAAAGGCATCAAACTTCGCATTGAACTGCAACAAGCTCTTTTGGGTTCCAAGACTCTGTCAGGGCGCTGATCTGCTTTTCAACCTCATTCAAGGTAGAAGCGGGGACTTTTCGAGAAATACTGTGGCCGATTCGGGAACGATGCCCAGTCGTTGTGTACGAGCTCTCAAAGTACTTCGCTGCCTACCTGCCCTACCCACATTCGTCAAAGTGCGACCACGGACACTCAAGATCTGGGTGGTTGTCAAAATTAGGGTCCCTTTTTGGGTCCTTATTTTCATACGGCACCTACTATGTAGGGTACCCCAAAAGGGTCCATAATTTTGACAACTACCCAGCTGAAGACGTCAGGACATTCTGCGGCAGCTCAATGAGGCTGAAGCTTCCTTGGCGGCGCCCAAGGAGAGATCTTCTCATTTGGGGGGGGCGTCTGAGCTCAGACAGAGACCCAGAGAGCCCAATACCCCCTTAATTAAGGAATATACCTTAAATCATAATATTAAGGCCCGTGTAATTTAAGGTGTATTCCTTAATTAAGGGGTATTGGGCTCTCTGGGGACGCAAGAAGGCACAGTGATAGAGTTTCTGCAGCCGTGAAAGGACACTCTACGGGGAATGCGACGTTTTGTAGATGGCGCCTGCAGCTCAGTCGGTGGAAGAGCTCGAGGCTTCTTCCACAACCTGAAATGATTGCATGCATAGTTCAGAGATTGCATTCCTCCTCGAGAAGTATTGAGAAGGGCCAACTAATCCGTGAAGTGCAGCTGTCGGTCTGCCATGATCAGGGGGTGTGCTAAGCCGCTAAGCTGAGGTCTTGGATTTATGGCGCAGCGGGTCCAAAGATGAGATCTCAGCCGTCGAGCTTAAGGCCGATATAGCCGGAGGTTCAGCCTCGCTCAAGTCGCAGCTCCACCACAGCTTGCAGGCCCTGTTGGCTGAGATCCGGGATGCATCTGACGATCCAAAATATTGGGAGGAAGTGATGCAGGCGCCTTCCGAAATTACAGCGCGCCAAGCAGTTTCTGTGTTGCGAGCTGCATGCAGAACGAATAATGCAGCCTTCAGAGAAGTCGCCGAAAGCTACACGTGCAAACTCGCCCTGCGGACTTAACCATTGCTTCCATGCAGGAGTCCCAACTCGAAGCTTTTGCTTTCGGTCCTTTGCGAGGCCGTTCCCTGCGAAGCGGGGTTTGGCTTGAGCCTCTCCGAAGTGGCAGAGGCCGGGTGCTGGGTTCCTGGGGTGCGGGCTCCTGGGGTAAAAATACAATCAAGTCAGGAGTGAAGTGCGTTAAACAGACTGTGAATTGCTTGTCCCACACCACCCATTGCTGTGGATTATGTGCTTGTTGGCTTTTGGCTTTCTGAGGACAGAGATGTCAACAAACTCAAAATGCAGTTGCAAGCCCAATTCGAAGGGAAGCTGTTAAATCTTGACATCTTGACACAGCCTACCGCCCCAGCTTGACCTGGCAATGCTGCGCCTAGCGCTTTGGATACCGGCTGCAGCTTTTGCCTTGGAGACTGGGAAGCAGTTCCCTCGCCATGAGGTGCTGGCGGAGTACGACTCAATGCTGTCGCTGATGGTTTTCCCGACAAGCGCCCAACAGGCGACGGAATTAGACACCGCCTTCCAAGCCGTGGCGGGCACAGAGGACGAGTTCCACATCCACGGTGCCAACGTGTCTTTCTGGGGTGAGCCTGTGGTCCTAAAATACGCGCATTATGGCGGCAAGCTGGGTGCAGCGGATGCTGGGATCTCCTCCACAGGCTTGGCTGCCGCCCTCATAAGCGTGACGGATAATTTCACAGTGGAAAAGGTCTGGGAACATGCCCCCGTACGAAATTTCGCAAAGCAGACCCTGGACTTCATCCTCAAGACCTACCACAGCGAGGAGAAGGAGCAGGACGAACTTTGATCCTTGGAGCCTTCCTGCTCTAGAGTTGTGACAGGATTCGGGGAGTTCCTGGCCGGTTCATGGCAGAGATATCAGCATCGGTTTTTCCCCCGCTGGGACGGAACAAAGACTTCCGCTGACCGATGTACACGAGCTTGGGATGGGACTGCACAACCTGGCAAGAGAGCGTCGGATGCAGTTCGTGAGCGACATGCTAGCTCGTGATCCCTTCATTCAAGTACCACTGGTACTTCTGATGCATCAAAGTTCGGAGAAAGATGCGTCGTGCCAGCACGCCAAGATTTGGCAGCACGGAAGCATGTAGCATGTCGCAATTGTTGCCGCCACTTGCGCAATCAGGCTGTGTGCGTTTGGTTGCCGAGACCTGAGCGGAGATGCCGGTAGACAAGATGTGTAGTTTGTTTGAAGCTTTACGTGGCAGTGCGAATTATGTTTCAGCCATTGCCTGTTTTGGCGGTTTTGTGGCTGTAGAATGAACATAGCGCACCTTCTGTTGGCTACTGAGGACAGACGTCGTCAGGGAAGACGACGAGAGCGAGGAAGAGGAGGAAGAAGAGGAGGATCCTGAGGCTTAGCTGTTTGTCGATGCCCAGCATGATGCAAAGCCACCAGGGAGGGTTTCTGCATCATGTCAGCTCCTTCGGTGGGGCCAGGAGTGTGTGCTACTGTAGGGGATTTCATATTATGTCTTCTTCGATTGCTGATGCGTTCATGTTTGCTCGTGACGATGAAACTGCTCGTTGGCTGTTTAGGATAAGGGTTTTATGTTTCAATTGTGCCCTTGTGCTGTTTTGATTCATTGAACAACTTAAGACTTAAGCTGGTGCTTACGAGTAACTTACTAGGGAGGGCCAGGCCCCGCGGAAGACATCAAAACAGCAGCCGAACTAGCACCCCTTCGCCTCCACTCTGATGGGCAGAACTTGTATCCGAAAGCACAGGAAAGGGTAGCACGTTGGAACTAGAGGACCACTGACCTCGTGATCGTACAGAAGGCGACAACCACGCATATGATACGTAGTCTTCGTGGTAAAGTTCCGACTTGAAGCTTCGCTGAAGAAGGTTGAAGCCACTGCATTTCCGAGAGGCTGTCAGCGAGTTGGCGTCCTACCGTGGCGCTCACAACGGCTCGAACAGCCCCAGATACAGCCTGAAGACCGGCTTTGTTGCGGAATTGGTTCAGGTTCCCAGGAATGCTTGATATCCGGAGATGACTGCTTGAATCTTAACGTTTCGGCGTTTCTTCAGGGGCTTGGGTTTCACGCGCCCGGCTTGCAGCAACATCATTTCAGGGCCGCTTGCACGAGATGGGCAGCACGGAAACCTGTATTCGTTTCTCTGCCTACTTGCTGAAGCTTTCGGGGTATTGATTGAAAAATCCGGCAAAAAGGGGTCAAAGGCTCAAAGTCGGTCACACATCCAAGGAGCACACGCTTGAATCAGCAGTGAAGTCGTCCCTTTGACCGTGAGACATTCACGCCCGAACAAATGGGAAAGGCAAAGGTTCCAAACAAAGGCAAGTTAAAACTCGCTGGCACGTGCAGGACCGAGCTGCGACAAGCAGAGAAAGCTGGATTTGACTCGGCAGTGACCTCGGCAAAGCTCGCCGTGGCCCAATCGTGCAGCAATATCTAGGTGTACATTTATAGCAAGACATGTTACATAGCTGCACAAGTATATCATATGTGTATTATATGTACCCGTGTAAACCTATGTACATATATATATATATATATCATATACACACACACACCCAATTGCCTCAAAACTGTTTTGATAGCCTGGGTTGGGAGGTCCTTGTTGATTCGTTGAAAATATCTTTGGGTACGGAGGTTGATGTGTAAGAGTCTAAGGATCTTTTAGATTCTACGACATCGCACTGCGACCCTGGAATCAGTCTCAGGCGTCGCCTCCAACGTCTCCACAGGCTCGGGTTTTCAACCATCATGTCGAGCAACCCTCTCCACTCAGCCAGCCCATGGCATGTGTGGTACCAAGTATGAGGTATGCAAATGCAAAGATACGGACTGCAGGCACCTTACTCGAGCCAAGCCTACCGCCGCCGAAGTCCGGAAACTCAGCCTCGGGGTTCTAAAGCGCTGTCTGTAGCGGAAGCCTAGAAGCTTCAGCTGGTATTTCGGATCGCTTCCTTGTCCGACGCACCTCTGAAGAAGCGGCATGTCCATGCGTTATTCGAGTGGAGGGAGCCGAAGCTCAGGGAACGAACAGGTCTCTTTTCTCAGACCCCTCTGGCTGTCATCATGCTCAAAAGTAGTCGGAGTCGAGGAATCTACTGCGCTGTGTGCGTCAACAGGCACCGTGGCCATCATGGTCGTCACCGTCATCGTCATCATATTCCTCACCATCTCACAGTCATCAACAACAACAGTCAACCAACAATGACGGAATCGCCATCGTCATCCCAATAACCATCAGCTTCAACAGCAGCTAGAAGCTAGCCAACGTCAACGAACTAAACAAGCGAGCAAAGCATCTACAAATCAATCAGCATCAGAAGCATCCTCATCGCCGTCGCTGTCGAGCCCTCTTACTCACTGAAGTGCCAAGGCAGCCTTGGAGATCTTCGGAGCCCATCTGCTCTGCACAGGGACCCGGGGTGAGTTGCGGTCGCGCAGATATCCCGAGAAGCTGCGGAATTCTGGACAGTTTGTTTCCACTGTCCAAGTGCCAACTGCAACCTACAGCCTGCAACCCCAGAACACAGGCTCTTCGACATACGCGCTCAAAGACGAGCTTCATGAGTTTCATGTATATATGTCCGTCAGTCCTTCACTATCTTCATCTGCGAAGTTGTCTCGAGGACTCCTTGGGCGTTGGCCCCTCTTCGGAGATCCTCCGGGCCCAGGAGCGGGGTTTCGAGGGGCCATGTCTCAGGAAGGCTTGAAGCTTTCGAAACTCAAAGGCGACAGGTTGAAATTGTCTCCGGGCTCTGTTGTGCGTCGGACGCTGTGGGTCCCAAATTCCACCCTTATTCGTGCATGACACGGCACGTTTCCACAAGTGAAGGAGCTAACGGAGCTGATGCGAAGGGCGGTCGACGCTTCCGGGGATGCGCGGCCCTCGGCTGATCTGTTCGAGTCGAGTATGCGTAAGTTCTGCCCAGCAGCGGTGTTACTGCGGCGTGCTGAATGTCGTGCAAGATGTTGTGAAGGCAACAACTACACTACAAGGGCAAAATGTACACACACACACAGCCAGACGTCGGGTCCGCAGTAACACTATGATGCTGTACAAGGCCGCCTGCAGCGGAAAACAGCGTAAGTAGCACTCCTTTGATTTCTGAACAGCCCATATCCGCAATGTGGTGGAGCGAAGTGACAGGTGCATACCCATGGAGATGCCAGTAAGCCTGCACACACGCGAACATGCATAAAGCTACATGTGTTCAAGTAGGGTATGTCTGTCTGTCTGTCTGTCTGCCTGGCTGTCTGTCTGTCTGTCTGTCTGTCTGTCTGTCTGTCTGTCTGTCGGTATGTCTGTAGGTATGTATGTATGTATGTATGTATGTATGTATGTATGTATGTGTGTATTTTTGTGTGTATGTGTGTATGTATGTATGTATGTATGTATGTATGTATGTATGTATGTATGTATGTATGTACATACGTACGTAGGTATGTATGTATATGTATGTATGCATGTAGGTATACGCATGTATGCATG